TATATAGACACAGAGACTGTTTGGGGGGATTTATGAAATACGCCGTTGAGATGCGCTCAGGTGCCATGATATACGCACCAAGTTTCATACAGATTGATTCAGGCATTCAAAGGCTGGTATGGAGATACGCACATGAACACATAGACAGCAATGTGATCTCATAAGCCTATTTTTATTTGTTTTTTAAATTAAGGTAAGTATGCCAAAAATAGAGATGGTACCGAACACGTCCAGAATTTAGTTTGGGGCTAACTGGCTCGAAATATGTGGAGGAAGGAGGAGTTGGGAAAGGACAGTTGGCAAACACATTACTCTCACGTGTATGAGTGACTACAGAGGGGTTTCGGAATTATAATGGCACTTATTTCACTCTTTTGAAATAGCGCGTGACTACATTTTACAATTCACTGTTACACACACGCACACACATACACATACTAATGTCCACAGTCATGTCTTCACTAGCCGTTGATTCGTAGCGGCTCCCAACATTGGACGTTCCCCTTCCTCTGGGTTCCCGAACGACCCCAGGGCCTCAGCTACCAGCTTATAACATCAACAGCTCACAACAACTGAGACGCGGCAGTTCATTAACTGACCAACCAACTCTTCACTGACTGACTCACTAAATGCTCTCCTCACTGTCATGCTTATAACATCTCGTCACGGACCGCACAGAAAACACCGTTCGTCTGTTGTAGTGCAAGTGTTGTTTAGCGGTGGCATGTCGTATTCCATTGGTGCCGTTTACAGACCATTGCTTAGCAATGACTGTTTGTTGTTAACAGTAGACTACTAATGTCGATGATATTATTGTTAATATTATGTATTATCGTATTATCATTAGCGTTTTGTTGTTAGTTTAGCGCCGTCTCTTTAACATTACATTATTCTCCCATTTACAGGCTGATCTCTCAAACAGTTCCTTCCTTTCAAATGCACCAACCAATAGTATATAAAATTAAAAAAGTGTCTAAATTTTTAAATAAATTGTAATGCTTAAATAAAACAAAGAAAAAACATATATTACTAGTTAAATTAGGAATATTTAACATTGTCTGAATGTTGTATAGCACTTGCTGTATGGGGGGGGGGAGTTTAAGACGTGCCTAGAATATGAGAGAAGCGCGCGCCACATCTGGCGGTAATTGTAATTACTACATGACAGTGACAAAGAGTCAACTGCATTAATATCCGCACTGACCTTAAATGATTTACTTTATTTTGTGTCAGAGCTCAGATACAAGTCGAAACACCACAGCTCGCTACAGCATTTGTTCACGCAAATCTTGGTCCAATACATGACTTTAAATCAAATTAATTATTTGCTTTCTATTAAATAATCGTTTATTTATTTAAGACGAAGGGTAGCTCAGTATAACGACTGGCAACGGGCTATGTAGCCGAGAAATTTGAGTTCGATTCCCGGCAAGAGATTGTTCTCCACAGAGTCCAGATCGCTTCTGAGGCCCTCTCAGCTTCCGATTAAATGGGTACCATGGGCCCCTTCCCCGGTAATAAATGGCCGGAACGTGAAATTGACCATTCAACTCCAACCATTGCTGAGGTTAATAAAGCGTGGAGCTATATATCCACTCCCCCACAAATTTCATGGTGTGGTGCTTAATTAATTAAGCAAAGGTACACTTATACTTTTTTTTCCTTGGCACTACAGCCCCAGTGGGCCTAGGCCTACCTCCATGAACTTCTCCGTTCACTTCGGTTTTTCTAGATCTTACACGTTCGGTAGGACTCCTTGGGCGGGTGATCAGCTCGTCGCAAGGCCTCTACCTGTACACAAACACAGAAAAACGCACACACAAAAACTAAACATCCATACCCTGAGTGGGATTCGAACCCACGATCTCGGTTTCCAAGCGAGCGAAGACAGTACATGCCTTAGACCGCTCGGCTACCGTGACCGGCACACTTATACTTCACCTTTACTTATTTGTTTACTATGTTCTTGAATTACATGTTTATTTGCTTATCAGAGGTATTGTTTGACATTCTCAGAACCTAGCCATATGTTCAGTGTCGCAAATGTTTTAAGCACGCAATAAGTTTCAACAGGTTCTTCTAAATAGATATTTTTAATGAAATCAGAGACGACGGAAGAGACTATCGTTGGTAGATCCAGCTACAGGCAGAATTAGTACTACCTATAACTAGCCACAATTTCACACAGTGACATTACTATTCTACTGTAGAGACACTACGAGTGTATTATGAATATACATACAAATACTTCCCCTTAACAGTTTTCTAATATACAGAGCAGATGCGCAGAACAGTAATCATTTTAGGCATTAAATATTTCCCAAACAGACCAAGGCGTAGGTGAGTGGACAATATTAAAATGGGTCTTAGAGAGATAGGATGGGATGGTATGGATTGGATAGATCTGGCTCAGGATAGGGACCAGTGGAGGGTTCTTGTGAACAAGGTAATGAACTTTCGGGTTCCATAAAATGCTGTGAAATTCTTGAGTAGCTGCAGAATTGGCGGCTCCTCCAGAAGGGCTCAGCTCCATGAGTAAGTAAGTAAGTAAATATTTCCCAAACAACAAACCAGTAACCTAAACACATAAAAAAGTTAAAACTGATCCTTCAACAGACGTGAAGGTTCGTAGGGGCGTGAGAGTTCGAGGCTCTTCACATTTTCTAGACAATCGGCTCATAGATGGCGGTGAGGCTGTCAGCCGGCAGCCCTTCACCACCAGGAACATCCCTGATACTCATTTCTGTTAGAGGCTGAGTCGACCCCACGGCCATAGTGCGGCTGTAATTATTAGGTCAATTGAAAGATCCAGTGACCTTATCGGGAATTTAACCAGTGACCTTATCGGGAATTTAACCAGTGACCTTCCGGCTTCTAGCATAGTGCCTCAACCAACTACACTACCGCGTGCCCCAAAGCATAATAATAACGACAATAATAAATTCCTTAAGGATGTTATTTTGTGAAAGGTCGAGATTGTAATATCGATCTGTGACCCTATAATACCGACTGAAACTCTATTGTTTAGGGCTGTCGTCTTCTGATTATATCCATAATTAACTTAGATTAATTTTGTAGTTGGTTTCCATGGAAACGACAAAACAACGCACCACTTCAAGGATTATAAATTAATTATATGTAAATGTTACCAACATTGCTTCGGTATCCTTACTTACGGCTCTTTGTCAGGTGGAGAGTTACTAATCCGGAGTCACAACAGGACGTAATCTTCCTGGTGGTTCGCGAACCACAAGTAGCTGATTCAATGAAGCTAAAACTTGGCTCGTATTAACAATAGAGTGAGCAGTGATTTTGACAATGGTGTATAACACACTGATATATTGGGTTTTTGGACTTTATCCATCGTCCTGGTTTTTATGATAAATAAAAACACGGCTTTCGGAAACTGGATCTGTTTCCTTCTTCAGGTAAGGNCATATCTTATCCGCCCAAATCAGACACTTCCCCTATCATTCATGTTCTGAGAAAAGAACTCAAGAATTTGCAAAAGAATGGAAAGATGTGTTGTGTATGAGGACCTCCTCATAAGTTTTAGAAACAACCGTAGTCTTTAAGAGTTACCGGAATTTCTCAAGTACGCCTGCAGACTACCCGCCCCACTACCGTGTTAGAGAAGTTGCCGCATGCCCAAGGCGAACAACATTCAACATTCTCTGATTATACACAAACCAAATCTAAGCTTATAAGCTTCTGGGCCTTCTCCTGTGGACGCCTTCCTTGGTCACAGAGCGAAACTTTACGTACCCATGTTCAGTAGTTACCTAACTTTAGCTTTAAACTGAGCATTTACGGGTTATTTTACAACGACTTCAACAGCTCGGATAGCGATGGTACGGATAATGAATTTCAAAAGATTTGAAAGGAAGCAACAATGGGCTAACCTAAGTACTCTCCTGGAATTTAGAAGGAAGGAAAGAGGAATGCCACGAAAAACATCAGTCACGATAAATTGTGCCTTGACACAGATTCGAACCGAGTACTTCCCGCATGCGAGTAAAGTGTTACAGGAACACGCAGCTAATGTACATAATAACACAATAGAATGCAAGCACTTTTTATCATTTCAAATAAACGTTCAAGAATACTATATTTTGGAAAGTGACACCGTCTAGTCTGGTTTCGGAGGTATATGTAGCGTATATCTTCAGGATTGGAGAATAAGTCATAAATAATCGGATAGATGCTTATTTACATGGTGAAGATTACATCTGAAACCAAATTACACGGCGTCTCATTCCAAGAAATAATACTCTTCGTAGGGGACTCTGTGAGAAACTCAAATCCTGAATAGCTGCATGCTCAGAGACAGTGTGATAATGAGGACGAGAACTAATTCATTCGTTGATTGGAGCGTTACTTAATTTCCCTAATATTCTTAATTCTCTTAGTGGGGGGTGGAGTCCGACTGGGTCCACTCGGCACGGCGTCCGCTGATTGGCCTATTGTAGCCTGCCCCGGGTGATTATGATGATGGAGAATTTGATGGAACGAAGATTGGCAGGGGAAACCGAAGTACTCGAAGAAAACCCGCCCCAGCATCACTTTGTTCACCACAAATCCCACTTGACCAGACCCGGGATTGAACCCGGGCCGCCGCGATGGGAAGCCAGCGACTAACCGCTTGAGCGCGGCCTTACTTATTTCCCTAAGCAATGGCTTATGTCAAGTGTAGGGGTTCTTGCGTGTCTTCTAAGACGGACTCTGGATTGGATTACTGACACCTTATTCACGCAACTAGGGACTACAGGCAATACAGCGCTATTGCTGATCTACACACTTTCCTGTTCACCGTTGCACACGCACTACAGTTCTCAGTCTTCACTAGTCGTATCCTGGCAACGGATTTATAATAGTCTCACGGTCACTTGTACCAGATGTTAAGAGAGTATAAGAATATGAAACAGTTTAAGGTACACCTCATACCCATAACAACTGTAAAGACGACTCGCGGCACTACAGCGAAGTTTCACGTGTTGCAGCACCGAGACACGCAGGAGACGCTGGCAGTTCTGGACAGACTGGATCTAGACACAGAGAAACCAAGTGACGAAGAGCTGGCGCGCAAGTTCGGGTTTGAGGAGGATTACTTCTCGGGCACCGTCTCCTGGTGGCAGCACATTAAACCCAAGATGTGGTCCCTCTTTGACGAACCATACTCCTCGAATGCTGCCAAGGTGAGTTTGATGAGAGTGTCACTATTTTATATGGATTATTTTGAGGTCCCTTTGCTTACCTAGGAACTTCAATGACCCCTCAGGATCTATTTTTTTTCATTACCATTCTTAGTGGGGTGAGACTGAGCCCACTTGGTACTGCGGCCACTTCTGGCCTATTGTACCAGCCCCAGATGATAGGTGAGGGTGATTGTGGAGCAATTGGTGGAATGAAGATTGGCAGGGGAAACCGAAGTAATCGGAGAAAACCTGTCCCAGTGCCTTTTTTTTCATCAAAAATCTCACATGTCCTGACCCGGCCTTAAACCTGGGCCGTCGCGGTGAGAAGCCAGAGACAAACAGCCTGAAGTATGGCGGGTCCTGCAGTATCTACTTAATGTTATCGTGTATCGAATGGTAAGTAAAAGTAAGGTAAAGGTAATGCTGTCCCTAACTCCGTGATTTTAGTCAGCAAGCGAACTATACCGACCGAGTGACCGTCGCTTGTCGGCGAAGTTTACTACGTGCTCAACTAATTAAGTACTACGCCATGAAGGTGTATTGGGGAGCCGATGTACAAATCCACATTTAGTTGACCTCGGCACTAGTTCGAGGTGAGTGGTCAGCTTCACGACCCGGCCGCTTTACCCCCTGGGAAAGAGCCCTCGGTACCAATTGGATAGGTGGTTGGGTGGACCCCAGAGCCGGTCTGGACAACAGCCAGTAGCCAGTCACTATATCGACTGAGCTAAGGTAGTATGACTGATAAATTAGAAAGGATTTGGAAATACGTGGTCGTGGCCTATTGTAATACTACCCTGCTTTAGTCTGGGGAGACAGTGGAGAAATCACGAAAAGGCCGGTCAGAATAACCTGTATCCATGCCGAGATTTGAACTTAGGATCTCACGAATTCAAGCCTAGCATGTCACTTGCAGACCAACCTGCTCGGTGACAATGTCATGATCGTCTGGTTTCAGACAGAATATGATGCACGCACCCAAATTTCGATCCTTTTCTTTAAGTTAGTTTGAGAAACGGGCCGTTTCAGTCTGAACTGGTAATCGAATTCATCTATCTCGGTTGTCGCAGCGGCGTTTAATGCAAGATTTTGATTTCCGGGAATACATCGGATGTCGAAGTTTTTACAAACATTTCAGCAAAAACTGCAGTCCAGTAATCCGACGCACAGTGACATGGTAGAAGTTTACCGAAGTTTCGTAGGAACTTACTACCTCCTTCTTCAAGTTCAAAGAGTGCTCCAAGCAAATAGTTCGCCGGTAGCTTCCTTAGCTTACTCCTCGACCTTGAAGATGGGTGTGGTGTCATAAAGCTACTCCTGTAACAGGCCCTGGACGCCTATAGGGTTGTGAAACGTCGAGGCTCCCACCTTTCCTACACAGTCGGATCACAGATAGCGGTGATGTCAGCCTTAAGCGCCTGCTTCCCTTTACACCCCAAGAAGATTCCTGGTACTCATTTCTGTTAGAGGCTGTGTCGACCCCAGGGCCATAGTGCGGCTAGAAGAATTAGGCCAACTGAAACATCCAATGAACCCGCGACCTTCCTGCTTGTAGCGTAGTGCTTCAACCAACTACGCGAACGCGTACCCCGGTGATATGTGATAATTAAGATTATTGTCTTCACGGATGTGGCCATAAGTAGAGTGATAAATAATTACCATAGATTTTGAGGAACATGCTGACTCCATCTTCAAGATAATTATATATGTAGACTGGTAGATAAGTACCGAAGTCTTAGACAAACTTCCTGAGTCCTCAATGTATCTCTACCCTGAAGAAAGAGAGAGTATATTGTTCCGAAAAGTTTCTAATTATTTATTAAAGTACTCCTAGAGTTGCCCTGAAGATAGACACTGCCGCTATCCAAGCTACTCTTACATGACGTCACATCCTTAAAGATAGGAATCATCATAGGTAACATAAAAATCAAATTTTCACAGGAGTCCAATATTTCAGTTTTCTGAGTGCATCACACAATGATGTCACAAAGTTTATACCGGATTTCTGTATAAGAGAGAGATCAAAGTTCTGTTGCTAGACGTCTTTCTGATAAACACAAAAGTTCATTAAACATCGAAGAACCATTATTAATTAATAATTAAACTGAATAATGGTGTAAGAGTTTACACAATAGCCACCCACTCTGCATAAGTTCAAGCCTCAATAAAAGACATAAGCTTGTGTTGAATAATGAAAAGTCAATTAAGAGTTTCCTCTTAATATTTATTAAAATAATCACAGCATTCATCAAAACCGAGGGTTTTAATTGCTAAGCGTGTCTGGAGGATATTTATGTTATTTAATACTTATAAGTAGATTCTAAAGGGTTCTAACGATGGTATGTAACTCTCGGAATTACTGGGTTTTTCGACTTTGTCCATCATCCGGTATTCTAAAAACTAGATAACACAACGTTTTGGAAACTGGATCTGTTTTCGTCCTCAGGTGAGGGTGGGAGACACATACTCTGTTGAGTTCCATAGAAAGAGCAAACCTGAATCACTGGACCTCCCCCCCTTCACCTCAGGACGGAAACAGATCCAGTTTCCGAAATATTATATTTTCTACTCTCTAGAATGCCGGACGATGAACAAATAAAAAATCAGCAATTTTGATTTCTAAAACTTTGAAGTCTCAGGGATCTCTGAATTCTGGTTCTCTGAATTAGTGATGAACTGAATAATGTGTAAAGATAATTTCGTTGCTTTATGGCAGAGGGCTGTACAAGAAAAGCGCAACACCTACTTGCAAAAGGAGAACCATCTAAAAACCGTGGGGAAATGTAAGCCAAGGAAACCTTTGTCTAAATAATGTCTGTAGCACAATGCTACAAGCCGGAGAGTTGTGGGTTCGATTCCCGATTTGGTCATTGGATTTTTCAGTTCACCTAATTCTTCCAGCAGCGCTATGACCCTGGGATCAACTCAGTCTCTAACAGAAATGAGTACCAGGAATCTTCCTTGGGAGTAAAGGGTGGCCGGCGCGTAAGGCTGACAAACTGACCGCCATCTGTGAGCAGATTATCTAGAAACTGTGGGAGCCTCGACGTCTCACAAGTTTGTAGGCCTCTATGGCCTGTTACAGGGAGAGTTTTACCTTTTTTAATTCATAAAACAATCACTCACTACTTTACAGACCAGCCAGTTAATATTGCTTAGCGAGATAAGTTTAGGTAGGTTAGACAGGGCTGTCCAATTGGTAACGCCAATGTCGCATGCGGCTCGCCAGCTGATTCTGCATGCCCTGCAAGAGAGCACTTCCTTTCCACAAACTATATGTTCACGTTTTTTTCCCAATTAAAATAGCAGGCGAGTGTTTCTGAGAAGTTTTTTTGGGGGGGGGGGAGAAAGTCTTAATTTTGGCGATAAAGAATAAAGTACAGTGAGTTTCAAATAATGCTTCCAATTCCTGTTCGCTGTCTACTGCATTGAGCCAAGGAGGACGATAAACAAATGATGTTGCGTTATTCAAAGGCAGAGACGCGGAGGACAGAATTTGTAAGTAAAAATCACTGAACATGAATGGGAAATGGGCATAGAGAAATACGTAAATATACTCTACAAACAGAACACATATAAGGAATACAGGAAACGAAGAAACCCGTTTTCTGGGATGTGGCGCCGTGTAGATATTGTATTAACAGACGTTTCGGAGGAACGTATCGCCTCCCTCTTCAGGGTAAAAGAAAAAAGAAGAAAAATCCGCGAGTAAGGAATCTGTGTTCCGTACAAAACGGACATAATACATCGCACGATGAGGCACCGACTAAACAATTAACGTTAAAACTATACTTCACGGGCTTCCAAAGAGTTTATCATATAAAAGTCTAGAGTATACCATCGTCCACGGGAAAATACAAGATTGCAACGACTTGAATAGATTTAACCTTATTTTACCGCAAAAATTTTGTTTTATAATAAGTTTATATATCATTGTGATTTTTATACCATGTGTTTTATAATATGATAATTGTCAAGTATCCAGACTCACTACGCAATTGGAGTTCACTAGTTTGTAAACATGATGATCGTGTATTTGCCTCATGATGGCTATGAATAGCCGAAACATGTAGGAAAGCTAATTTAGCCTTGAACTTGTGACGGATTTAGTATAGAACTGTATATAATAACACAACAGTATGCATGAAATGAAAATCCATATTCTTTATATATATTATTTAGACCAGAGATTTTCAAATTTTATGTGCTTGGGGTTCCCTGAAATAGTTGAACAGAAGTCAGAACCACGTAAGGAAAGGACTTAGAAATTTACAATTTTATTTTCAATGAACATATAAATGAACGTGGAACATCTTCATATCTGCCATATATATATAGGTTTTTTCTGAGTAGATTCAAAGTAAAACGCCCATAGGTAAGAAAGACCATATCGTCCATGGAGAACTGTAACAGGTTTGGACTGTCACGTACCCTCAAAGGTGTTTTAGACGAATCAAATATTCATATTCNACAACGTCACGTTCTGCAGAATGTATGACAGTAACATATCCATATGGTAAATGTACCACTGTGACTGTGTTTCAGATCATAGGAGTCATCTCTGTGTTTTTCATCTGCGTGTCGATCCTGTCCTTTTGCCTGAAGACCCACCCGGACATGCGAGTTCCCGTCATCAGGAACATCACCGTCAACACTTCATACAACACTTCAGCGTGGACACTGGACAAGACGCAGACAAACGCCCACGAGGCTTTCTTCTACATTGAGTGTGTCTGCAACGCCTGGTTCACGCTTGAGTTCTTTATCCGGTTCATCGCGTCGCCAAACAAGTGGGAATTCATCAAGGCGTCAGTTAATATTATTGACTACGTCGCGACGCTAAGCTTCTACATCGACCTGGTGCTTCAGAAGTTCGCTTCCCATCTGGAGAACGCCGACATCCTAGAGTTTTTCTCCATCATCCGTATAATGAGGCTGTTCAAACTTACGCGTCACTCGTCGGGGCTCAAGATCCTCATTCAAACTTTCCGCGCCTCCGCCAAAGAGCTCACCCTGCTTGTGTTCTTCCTTGTGCTGGGTATTGTCATCTTCGCTAGTTTGGTGTACTACGCGGAACGTATCCAGGCCAACCCCCACAACGACTTCAACAGCATCCCTCTAGGCCTTTGGTGGGCATTGGTTACAATGACCACTGTGGGATACGGGGACATGGCCCCCAAGACATACGTGGGGATGTTCGTGGGCGCCCTCTGCGCCTTGGCCGGCGTACTGACCATTGCTTTGCCCGTGCCAGTAATTGTGTCCAACTTCGCGATGTACTACTCCCACACACAGGCGAGGGCAAAGTTACCCAAGAAGCGACGGAGAGTATTACCGGTAGAGCAGCCCAGAGGGCCAAGGCTCCCTGGGGCACCGGGAGCGGGGGGTCCTCCAGGATGTGGACCAGGGGGGCCAGGGGGTGGGATGCCTGGAGGCTGTGGCCCACCCGGTGTGCAGAACAGAAGGATGAACGCCATCAAGCAAAACCATCCAAAGGATATGATGGGACAGAAGATGGGTGAGTCTGCAGACACTCGCAGTACGGAACTGAGACCGCTTGGGCCAGATGTCATCCTGATTCGTTGGTTGTTGTATTATCTAATAACGCTGCTTCACTTAGCTAGGTTAAACAAACTACGGTGACGAACGGTAGGACGATATATGAATAATGAACTGGAATGGAAAATAGAAGTTGTGGCCTCCTTTATTATATCATAATCAACATCATCGATAACTTCAAGCATTAGGCCACTATATCTGTTCTGATTCCAGGATTTAAACTGACCCTTCCATCGGTTATTATTTCTTCTTGTGTTTCGCCTTTTTGTCAGTTTGTAGTCTAATATATATATATATATATATATATATATATA